CCCCCCCCCAGAGTGCGCAAGTTCACTTATCAGATCTGGGACGGCGAAATCCGTGTTGCACGTCATAATAATGACATCATAAGTAGGGGAAGTGTGGACGTGGTGCATCGCCGCGATGGAATGAGGCAAGTCTGACCCAAAAATGACGTACATCTCGGATTACACCGTCCCATAACCCCATTCCAGTTGCACACTCTGGGGGGGGGGGGGGGGGGTATGTACTCTTGATGAGATGTTTGGCACTATCACACCCCTCATGTTGCCGTTCACATTGTGAATATTTACACATGTTTTCCACCTGATTCTGCACTGCACATGCTGTACTGTTTAGTAATACTGTGCAAGGCAGAAACTATGAGTCTGTGGGCGCGTGAGTGGCTTGGATGGGTTTATTGAAATGTTAACCCTTTACCAGCCGCAGGATTTATATGAAAAAAAAACGGGGTCCACTAGATTGATAATAGAGACTAAACGGTAAATATTTTGTAATTACACCTTTACAGTTCTGGAAAGCTGGTAGTATTACCTTTCATATGAGACTAAAACTAAGCTGATAACATGTAGAAACGTTGCCATTCATGGTGACCAATAACTCGAGCAATGCGGCCGAATTAGCAAATTCGAGGACCATGACAATATGTACACTGTTCAGCTTCAGCTCATGCACCAGTTCATCTGTCAAGATTCAGACACCAGCAGAACCAGGTTGCTCTAGCGCTCATTTTTGGTGCATGTCACGCATGGGCTGTGCACTGGGGAATTCGCAAACACATACTTCAGCATGAAGTGCGTCACAGCCACACGCTTGAAATTTCAACTCCACCCGTTTGCTGGACCTCGAGCTTCGGCGCTTGAGTATTTTACGTTGCTCTATATCGAATGATACATCGTTAGAAAGCTGTGTTTAATAGCTTTCCAATAAGCCTTCATATGTTGAATTTGAAGTAGGCAGACCGAAGTTATAGCTGTTTGTACACTGCTCTATGCTCGTTTGTAGCATGAAATGCGCCACAGTCACACGCTTGCAATTTCAACTTCAACCTGTTTCCTGGACTTGGAGCTTCGGCGCTTGAGTATATTTTACTTCGCGCTATATCGAATGAAACATTGTTGGAAAGCTGCGTTCAATAGCTTTCCAATGAGCCGTCTTTTGTTGAATTTGAAGTAGCCGATTTTCTCGAAAAAAAATATGTGCAGCACACGGTTTTATCGATGGTAGGTGATTCCGTAGGTTTTCAGCAGTAGTTTGCGATTATTCCGACCACGGTGCGGCAAAAGACCATGGTTTACAGAGCGAAAAAGGAATGCGTCGAATTCGACGCACTCGCACTATATACGGCTGGTAAAGCCTTACGTGAGTCACGTGAGGTGCACCTACCACCACCATGTCCTACATTTGTATAGCTATTCATGAGATCAAGATTACATAACACCCCCCCCCCCCCAGAGTGCGCAAGTTCACTTATCAGATCTGGGACTGCGAAATCCGTTTTGCACGTCATAATAATGACATCATAAGTAGAGGAAGTGTGGACGTGGTGCACCGCCGCGATGAAATGAGGCAAGTCTGACCCAAAAATGACGTACATCTCGGATTACACCGTCCCACAACCCTATTCCAGTTGCACACTCTGGGAGGGGGGGGGGGGAGGGTATGTACTCTTGATGAGATGTTTGGCACCATCACACCCCTCATGTTGCCGTTCACATTGTGAATATTTACACATGTTTTCCACCTGATTCTGCACTGCACATGCTGTACTGTTTAGTAATACTGTGCAAGGCAGAAACTATGAGTCTGTGGGCGCGTGAGTGGCTTGGATGGGTTTATTGAAATGCGCTATGGGCTTGATAACAAGCTATTAATTAACCCTTTCAGTGCCAAGGGGGTCAGAAAAAGTGTTGAGCTGGACTCAAATTTTTCATAGCTCAGCTGTATATCCACGTATCTTTACAAACGATGGCTCTCTGGAAAGATATAAAGGTCAGGCACACCATTGTGAAGAGAAAATGCGGCGAGAATAGTCTTCCTAGCAAGGGCGCCTGAGCGATGTCCATTTTCTGCATTCTGGCGACGTCTATCCTCACGGACACAAACCGATGTGATAAGTGGATAGCCAAGGTCTTCCTGGAGACGTTGAGTGCTCGTTTGTTACTCTCCTGTGTGTAGAAGTGGAGATACGAAATTATTTGTACACACATACTCATTCTGGGAGACTAAAGTCGCTCATGGCGCTGAGAGGGTTAACCGGGAGAGAAATTTGAAGAGAGTAGTTGGGTGGACACACCCATTCCCACAGCACTGCAAACCGAACCGATTCCTTTTACGTACAACGTTTCGTCACAATTGCCATCGTCAGATATGAAGAATTGTTGGTTTCAAGACGGCGAAACAGAGACTCGCAATGAAGGTCCAGTACCCATCGCATGTGTTGCACATGCATTGCATGGACGAATAACTCCCCCATGGAACAGAGCAGATGTGAGAGTTGCACACTCTTGTTTATGTACACTTGATGAGATGTCTATCACTATTGTTGAGTCACAAAAGGACTCACCATCCCAGACACAAAGGAACAACTGGGGACAGGTACTAGTAGTGGGAAGACATTTATCATAGACGGAGAGACGGAGAGAAAGAGGAACTAAACGACTACATTGTGAAAGAGAGAGAGATTCGAAGAGAGTTGAGAGAGAGATTTGAAGAGATGCGACGCAATATATAGGGCCTGGGTAGCTATGGCAAACATGGGTGCGCAAGTAGCTACCCAGGCCAACGGAACGAAAAGTGAGAATGACGTAGTACGGGCGGAGGTACCTAACACTATTACACTCTCATGTAGATGTTTTTGTTGTCACTAGTGACACATGTTGACCGTGAACATGTTTTTCACCCGATACTGCACTACAAACACTGGTGTTTATAGGCCATTCACACGACGTCCAAACTCACTTTTATCGTACCGTTTCCAAGGATATTTGCTCGGATAAACTTGCATTGCTTGAACAAAGGAATTTTTTTAATTCGACTTGAAGCGCAGCAGTCAGCTGGGGAATGTGAGGGCCATCGCTCTGGACAAGCCTACATGGAGAAATCTGGCCGACAATCCATGGTCTGGCGTCACAGGTCATCAGTGCGCCGTGTTAATAATTATCTTGATAATGGAATTTGATCATAGGAGATAGGACAGAAGCGGAACGTATAATTATACCCACATAATTATATTATTACGCGTGCTGTGGTTTTATTATTATTATTATTCAACGCAATAAATAGAGTAAGCTGCGCACTCAGTACAAACACCATTAGCAACGCTTGTTTTCATGTAAATAAAGAAGCTTGTTCCTAAACGTTTTCGTTTACGGTCCACGCAGTTCGAGTGACGAGGCTTTGTACTTGTGCACTTTTAGGGTTTTACGTCGGGCCCTAGACGACGGCTACTTTGGCCAACCGGACAACGAAGAAGTTGTGACCAAAGAGAATGATTTTATTTCTTGCGCATGCGTATGTAGAATGACGTAATACTCAGTGAGTCAGGTCGTTACAGTACTCCCCCGCCAGTGGTGAGGTCGGGAGGAGCGAAGCACGATAAACAAGAAACAAGAAAGAGAAGAGAAAGGAAAGCGCAGCATGTACAAGGCGGAAAGGCAAAAATATAATAATATGATACATATGTACAGGCGAGAGCGCTGCGTGTATGAAATTTGTTTGTGACGTGGCAACAAAGGCCGAAACAAAATCAAAAACAGTGCAGAAAGATGCATGACAGAGGCGGGTTAACATGTCAGAGGTGTGTTAACGTTACAGAGGTGGAGAGCATGTCAGAGGCAGAAAGAAAGAAAAGAGGAAATGTACGCGTGACAGAGGAGTGTTATCGTGTCAGAGGCAGAAAGAAAGGAAATGTACGCGTGACAGAGGCGGCTGCATGTTGCAGGCTTGGCAGGATACCAGCAGGAGCGCTGCACTGATGCGAGGCATGCTGAGTGAGACGGGGACAGATGGAGGCGAGCGCAGCTCCATGGGGTCTGGTGCCGGGCGTGTGCCTGCGTGCGTGCACAGTGAGTGAGCTGGTACGACGGGTGGAGGTGGCCAATTTCCAGCTTGAGGCCAGGACGAAGACGAACGACGACTGGACGATGCCGTGGCAGGATAGCGGGGTATCCAGGTGGGCCGGGGAGGGTGGCAGGGGCCACAGCAGCTCCGAGGCGGATCCAGTGACGAGTGGTGGTGAGGCTCAAGTTTTACGTCAACAGCCGGCGATTGACGGGATCCCGAGAGTTGAGGCGAGCAGGAAACTGCGGCGGGCCGAGCTCAGGGATGGCATGCTCAAAACTCCGAAGAGCGCAGTGTCAGGGGTCACCAATTTAGGATTTTACGTCGGGCCCTAGACGACGGCTACTTTGGCCAACCGGACAACGAAGAAGTTGTGACCAAAGAGAATGATTTTATTTCTTGCGCATGCGTATGTAGAATGACGTAATACTCAGTGAGTCAGGTCGTTACACACTGTACACCGTACTGTACTGTGCAGTCGTCTTGAAATTTTCTCGATTCTCCCATTACACCCATTCATTTGTGTTTATAATGATAGTCCGAAATTGGTGCACTTCAAATCATTATCCCTAGGTAATGGTTGGGCGGAATTGAATACTATTTGCGCATTTCCTAAATGCTGTACTCTGGAGAATTGATTAAGACTAAAATCGGAGCATTTGGAGCGAGTTTGAAAATTGACTGAAGTCACTATTGCCATAAGCAAATTTACACATACGCTCAGCGTCACGCATGCTGGTTCAGTACCCCGAGTGCTGAAACGATAATATCGATTACTCGTTACTTACTTGATAAGAAATAGATGGAGCGGTTATTTCGATTTTATCGGCTAAACGAATAGAATGGTATTTACGCTCGGTACGGGATTCCCCCCTTTTGGGGGGGGGGGTTGCACAAAGCGTGCTAGACTGACAAGATCATGCAAGAAAACCCTAATTGCACTCACCTGAGCTGAAGAGCTTCAGCTGTTCAAGTCGTGTCGGTTGTGCTAACATCCGACTAAACGTGTTCTCTCAGTAAAAGGAAGTACCTTGTTGGAGTGTGCAACCATCGAGCCACAATCTGGTCAACCAATAAAACAGACAATAAAACAGAAAATGGGAGTGAAGAAGAGTGTCAAATGAAACCTTCTTTCCTTCTAAAATGTTCTCACCCGCCTCCCCCCCCCCCCCCCCCGTCTCTGCCTGTCTTTTTATTGCAGAATACCATATCTGTCGACTTGCTGGTGTGTCTGCATACTCTTACCCTCCCTGCTCTCTCTCTCTCTCTTGTTGTTTGTCCTTGGTACAGTGTTGAAACATGGTGAGGCGTCATCTTGAAGCTGCCCTGCTCACCTGCCCAGCGGTGGCCTCTATTCGTTCCTGGCTTAGCTGTCAACTGTCTACATTCTACTGGTAGTGAGTCGCTCGACAGCTGACCACCTCAAGCATCTGAAGACCATCTTCCCGCACTTGGCAGAGTATGGTCTGGTGGTCAATGTCAGCAAGTGTGTCTTCATGCAACCCTCCGTGACATTCCTGGGTCACAATGTCAAAGCCACTGCCGGCGGCGGCATTGAGACACTGGCAGAGAAAGTCAAGGCCATGGTGGACTACCCTGCTCCAGACACTCACTCTGCTCTCTACCTCGCTTTCTAGGTTTGGTTAATCTCTACCAACGCTTCATCCCGGATTGTGCATGCGTTCTTCAGCCGCTCGCGGATTTGTTAGCAGGCCCTCAATCTCCCACAAACCTTTGTCGCGAACGTTGAGATGAAATACATGAAAATAAATTCTGAATAACTAATTTGTATTTTGCATTACATGACGATGATTAACATTAGTGTTTTTGTATATACCATGACAATGATTGTACTCTCTTACTCTCTTACATTGTGGCTGATTCCACGCTTGGGTTAGCAGAATTCTGGTTCCCTATCTTCATTTCTAATGATTGACTCCATTTCACTTCAAAGTAGCTTCGAAGGTAGTCTTCGTTTCTCTAGTCTTTGCATTTCGTTCTGAAACAAATTCTTCGTTATGTTTTCATACCGTGAGTAGTCTCGCGCTCTTGATTTGTTTTGCTCACGCATGACTTTCCTTTCTGTTCTTTTTGTTATGCATGACCATGATGACGTATTGGTATGATGTATATGTGTACGTGACCACTTGACCACGTGACTATGTGTTCACTAACTATAGAGTCTGCAGACTGTAGCCTAGTGGAGGCTAGTGCACTTTAGCCATTCGCTCTCCTTGCTGTTACTTCTTCTCCGTTTCTATTTTGTCGCTGCACTAGTTCCTTTTTCCACCATTCCACGCCAATGAAAGTCGTGGTCGCCAATTAAATGCATGATCTTTGTGCGCAGCTGCCTGTGGATGCAGCTGCCCTGTTTCCGTTCCATTTGGATTTAGATTGAGAAAGAAACTTTCCAAATCATAAATGAAGAAACGTTGTTTGTAAATTAATAGCTAGGTTCCAGGGTACGATTTTCCATGCCCAAATCCGTATGGACGATACGGATTTTTTCGAAGCGTACTTCATACGATTTTTCGGCACGGACAATACATGTGGCTTTCAAAATTAAAAATTAAATAAAATACCTCCCGTCCGCCCCGATTTCTCAGAAAAATCTGACGATAATCAATATTATTTTGCATGGCCTTAATGTGGGGCTTTGAATAAAACAAGTCGAGAAAAAATATAAACATCACTGTCTGAAACAGTGAAAGCCTAAGAAAGTGGTGGAATTTAGCCCAATGTACCCTCACGATAGATGCATTCAAGACTTCTATGGCGTGCTACAATGGCTACCAGGTATAACCACGAGGAGGTACCCACCAATTGTACCCAGAGCCTAGTTTTGCGGTGCCAGTTACCCGCCGCTCAGACCCCCAAATTTGTTACACTTTCTCCTCCGTGGAGAGAGTTGGTGGGACTTTGCATGGGTGCTGAAATCAGCCGGTAATGCAGCATTTAATCAGGAGTGGGAGCTCAACCCCACTCCCACTGTTCCACACCCATACCTTTGAAAGTGTCTGCTCGTCAGATCCGGTCATCAAGAACTTACCGCCCGGGGGAAACAATCGGTTACCATTCTTTGCTGGGCTGGTGAGAATTAACGGATGATCGAAATTCCGGACCTTGTAGCACTTGAAATTGTTTTCGCGGTATGCTTCATCACGGTAATTTCCAAGAGCAATTCTTTCATGGTATATCTCAAAGGGAGTGGTTGCAAGAGGCCCACCGCCGATGACTCCCGGCGCGTACCGGCGATATGTGAACCAACCCTAAAGCACGATTCTTTCAAATATTAGAAATTAACTCGGATACTGAGCCAGTAAATATAATTGAAATAGAAGAAATCACATGGAAACGAGCTATGCAATAACTATCCACGACCATAACAAGATAATAAGTAGTCAGAAAGTGCGATAACAGGGCACAAAACTGACAGGCGACTGAGACATTCCACGACCTGAGGACTTGTTGGTTTGCCCACTGGAGATGTGTTAAAGCCAGGCCTCAGGTCGTTGAATGGGTTAGCTCACTGGTGATATGTTAGAGCTAGACCTCAGGTCTTTGAATGTCTCAGTAGCCTAGCCTATCAGTTTTGTGCCCTGTTATCGCACTTTCTGACTCAAATCTCTTTAAAAAATTGACGGAAGAATATCTGGTTTTTGCTTTCAACTCGAATTTTTGGTTGTATGTATGTATGTATGCATAACCCATAACCATTCTGGTCGTACGGGCGCCATGTGTGCCATAAGGCAACAGCGTCCAAAAGAACAGAAAGAAAGAAAGAAAGAAAGAAAGAAAGAAAGAAAGAAAGAAAGAAAAAGAAAACTAAAATAAACTTACTACACTGCCTATACTGGCTATACCTATCACGATCAGCATGCAGCAACGAAAGAGAGGATTGTACAAAACACTCTCTCTCTCTCTCTCTCTCTCTCTCTCTCTCTCTCTCTCTCTCTCTCTCTCTCTCTCTCTCTCTCTCTCTCTCTCTCTCTCTCTCTCTCTCTCTCTCTCTCTCTCTCTCTCTCTCTCGCCGTGTGTCTCATGTGTCTCTCTTCTCTGCCTACGACACCGAAACGTTTCATAGGGCTGCGACTATCGACTTGACCTTGGCGATGCCCATCTTCTCTCCCAGGCCAACAACCTACTGGGAGCTGAAATCTCCATCCTTTTTACCGGTTTGGGTTTTATTATGCTCTAAAAATGGTATTCACACTCGGGATACATATGGTAAATCTTGGTGTTTTGCCCCCTTGAACATTTTGCTCTTTTGCGAACTTTTAGCAACAATCAACAGTTGGCATTGCGTTAGTTTTGAACAATTTGTCAATGCATGGTGCCTATGATTATGACTTGGTAGCTTTATGGTAGAGTATGGTATTACTTGAACAGAAATTTGACATGCCAATCTTTACTGTGAAGAAGAGGTTCGTGTGACTTTGGCGATAATTGAATAATTGTTTCTTGCTCCCTACGTGGGAGCTTGCGCTATTCCTGCCGACTTAAATTCTCACTTGACTGACTCACGACTGCCATCCAGAGCACACGAGAAGTCCACCGAACATTCCACTCGGCAAACCTGCCAGAAAGCACCACTCCCTGCTCAATACACAGTGTTTCGGGGAATTCACCCCTCATCAGTTGTGCTTGAGTAGGCTAAGAATATTCTGCCTAAAGAGTACCACTTCTATAGTGCTCTTCAGGCACAAACATAACCAAAGATACAAACTTACAGCGACGCTCCGTTTCTAGCGCGACAAACACCTCGTGAGCACCAGATAGCAGCGTGAGTCAGTGTCGCTCATGGATGTGCTGAACAAACGCTGAGGACCGTTGGCCATTCACAACGCTGTTCCCTCCACACCATCTAATTCGCAAGCCCGCGCTTGGGACAACAATGTGAAGAAGAGATTGGTGCGACTTCGGCGATAATTAGGGAATTTTGTGTGGCTCCCTACGTAAAAATAGAGGATCCGCACTCAAATCTTACAGTTTTGCAGTGAAATTCGGGGAAAGAATCGGCGGTGAAAATATAGCTTTGTCGAAATGTACTCGCCGAATGTGTGATTCGGCGCAAAAATCAAGCTGCGAAACAGCACAGTCGCGAAATGTCATTCGATGAATTGACCACCTCGAAATGTCACGCGACGAAATGTCAATCGCCTAACTGACCGGATACCCGTGGGAGCTTGCGCTATTCCTGCCGACTTGAATTCTCACTTGGCTGACTCACGACTGCCATCCAGAGCACACGAGAAGTCTATCTTTACTACCATCAACAACTGGGCACTGGGCTGAAAGAATGTGCACAGCTTCGAGAATCCTGGCAGACTTGGCCACATGCACTTTCCCTGCTGAGCCATCTGCTTGCCAGATGGCTCTCTTGCCTTGCTGGCTGACCGGTAGTCATCCCGCTCTGTGAAGCTGTCCAACGTAGCCGAGTACTTCAGCAGGTCGTCAGGAGAGAGGATAGCCGTACGGATGATGCTGGTGAGGACTTCCACGTCTCCCTCAACGTACGTGGTGGGCCCCGAAAGACAAATCAGGAAGCAACTCCTGCTGCAATGTGCCTACACTTTAGGACTTCAGCCCAGGTCGCGCTTCCTTCAGCGCCGGCAGACTGTCAGCAAACCCAGCGAATGCAGATTTCAACTCGTAAGACGCTTACTGAAGAATGAAGAATGACGCCAGCATCAAATGACAAGCAGTTGCGGGCCAGCAAGACTGGAGGAGGTGTGAACTCTGTCAGCCACTTAGTGAAGTCTGCATGAGCGTCTGACAAGTAACAAGAACTCACCTACACGAAAGAAGAGAACACAAAACACTTGTTATCGGTGTGTTCATTTTACATACAGATTTCCATTGCGGCAAGGCCGTGACCAAATTAGTTTGTATACTTCTGTGAGAATCAATAACGCTAACTATAAGAAAGCAATGGACCTGAATACGTCATTCGGTTTACTCACACTACATGCTGTCAAAACTACAAAAAGATTTCCTAACCACCACCTAATCATCTCATAAGTGTATTGAATAAAATAGGAACTGACCTCCTTGCCATTCAGAAGCAGACTCTTCTTCCCGCCAACCATGTCAACTGTAAGTCCTGTTATGTCACTTGCACCCTTCCATATAGGTATCGTAAGCAGAATGTTCCTGAAAAACACCTTCTTGTCATACAAGTTGCTAGCAGCCAGTTGGGTGATTTCACAATCTCCGAAGCCGGCTGTTTCTAGGTGAAACACAATGATGGTTGCCAGACACGGGACAAGGGATGGCTCGACCTTAGCTGCGGAATTTCTTGATTGTCCACCGAATCATCAGATGTAGCACAGCCAGATGATTAGATCTACTGTGTGCCTGCAATAATCATGATAAGTCACAGTACCAAGGAAATATACAACTAGGCAAACGTGAGAAGTCACTGACATGTTACATTGTACATGTACATGTAATAACATTTCGAAACCATCCATAATGCATTACAAGCAAAACAAACCACGCTGTCAAACATTCAGATACATGTAACTGTAACAATCGTCACATATTTTTACATACCTTCTCGTATTTCTTGGCTAGCTTGAGTGGACGATCGGGCAAGGCGGTTCTCAATGCAACTGCTGGCGTACACCACGGTGCCGCGCCGGGCACGTTCCCTAGCCTTGATCCGCTTAGTACCCTTAGCAAACTTCTGTGTATGTCCACCAGCAGAGAGTCCAGCCTCCTTCATTACCTGAGGACTGAGGTACATACTGGGTGGCAATATTTTGCTGACCACTCTACAGCCGAGACAGCAGTCATAGCTCTCTGAGCCACCAAAATGCAAACGTTTTGGGGCAAGAGACGTGAAGGTGTTATTCAAGGCTTCACTGGCGTTGTAGCTAGCACAGGGAGCAAACTTGTCAGTATTGTCTGCGTGTTTAGAAAACAGTTCAATGATGATGGTGTGGAGCTCCTTTACCTTCGCATACAAAGACGCAAATCCACCCAATCAAGTAGACACTTCCTTCTGTCAAACGTTTTCTTTCCCTTCTCGTCAGGATAGTACAGGGAATGTTGGAAATTAGAAAAACACATAACTATATAGAGTTTGCAAAGAAGAAAGAAAGGAAAAAGTCAACACTTCAACACACAATGCAGGTGATAAATGATTTAAAAGTGTTGAAAACTCATCAAAAGAAAGATGCAAGTTGTAGACAAACACGTTGAACACATCAGGAAACACTTGTCACGCTTTCACGAGGTGTGACACCAAACAACTGCAACGATCACGCCGATATTTTTCACCGCCTCCAAAGTCCAAACTACCACCTAGGTTTGTATTTTTTTTAAATATAATGCAAAAATCATCACAGTTAGTGAGTATACTGAACAACACAGCATGAACGTTTCCATTGCAAAGTTGTACAGTCAACTTCGCTTATAACGACACTCGGCGGGGCATCAGAAAAGTGTCCTTATTCGCGAAGTTTCGTTATACCCGAAGTCTCATTCTATGTATTACAGTTGGATGGGACTTTGCTCTGGGCATGGAAATTCTGTCGTTATTCGGCAATTGTCGTTATATCCGCAGTCGTTATTAGCCAAGTTGACTGTACATGTATTTCTTCTCGCTCCACACATACATGTATACTGGCATACACACAGAGACATACATTGTACATGTAGACAGCGACAACACACAAAGACGTACATGTAGACAGCAATAGCGACAACAATCAGAGACATAGACAGCAATAGCGACAACACACAAAGTGAAGGGTAGTTGGCCGCAGCCAGATATGAACCGGATAACGAGTGAGGTGTGGAAACAAGGACTGAGAACAGAGTGTCTCAGATAGAATAGGCGTGCCAGTGGATAGCAGAAATACAATGTAGATCATGATGTAGTATCCAGTCACAGTGCCTTGCCAGTAGACCTACTCAGTACGACAGTAGTACTACTGACTACTACTCTACTGAGCTGTACTCAGTAGCTCACTATAACTAGTATAATACTAGTACATGACGATGTACATGTACATCTATTTTACTCTAGTTACGTCACGTGTATGTCATATGTACACGCACATGCAGTCACACGGTGTCCCGTCACTTCGGAGCGTGACGTCTCGTCGCGCGACATTTCGAAGCGGTCATTTCGAAGACAGTCAGTTAGGAACGGGGACACTTCGGAGTGTGTCAAATTCGGCGCCAGACGATTCGACGAGAACCAGTTCGGAGAATGGCCACGACATCGCCTATTCATTTCGTCGTCACAACCGCTTTTGCTGGGAAAAAAATCGCACTTCTTTTCGCCTGTTCATTTCACGACTCCCTGGTTTGAACTCTTCGCCTGTTCATTTCACGACTCCCTGGTTATAACTCTACACCTCCGTCCTTCAAAAGCAATGGCTTTTGCTGGGAGAAGAATCGCACCTCTTTTCGCCTGTTCGTTTCACGACACCCTGGTTTTAACTTTACACCTTCGTCCTTCAAAAGCAATGGCACCAGACTAATTACGACAGATTCTTGTCGAGGTCCACGATGGCTGAGGAACAACCCGACTATGTTGGCATCACAAGCCGAGGAAGACCGAAGCTGGTTAAATCCGTATAGTGTAGTATTGTATAGGTATTTTGTACATCAATGCAGTGACAGACTCACAGTCAAACCAAATTATTATAACAATGGCAGTTCTGTATCACGCGCGGGGAGTTGCAGTTCCACTTTTCTCACTGTCAGTGTCACTGCATTGATGTACAAAATACCTATACAATACTACACTATACTGTATTGTACTTTGAAGCAGTCGGTCTGTAGCTGTTCAGCTGTGGGAACATTGCAATGGCGCTTCGAAACGTCGGGGGTCCGAACTTCCCGGGTCCCAGTTGACGTGCGATGAGTTCTCGTGGCAGCGAAGTGACGGGTTTCGAAATGTGTCCGCGACGAGACGGTTCTCGACGATATGACCTCTTCGAACTGACGCTCGTCGAAATGTCCCGCTCCTAAGTGACGTAGAACCAGTCACACAGCTCATCAATATCGCTTCTCGCGCCCGCCACTCTTGTCGCTCCATTGCATTCCCGCGCCCGCCACTCTTGCCGCTCCATTGCTGACGAGCCTACACAACTGTACAAGACATGTACATGGACATGTAGTTAGTTATCTTTGCTACTTAGTCTTTAGATCATGGTATTAATTTTGTATGTATCTTGCGTGATACTTTCCCCCCACATATTGTACTATTATCTCAATGACCAGAACTGAGCATGAGGTCATGCCCAGCCATGCCCTTTTTACGTAGATCTCGTTTCACCAATGCATGTCCTCTACTCTTCTCTCGCCCTATAAAACCTGCTGTACTTTTCTTATTTCTTCACAATTACAACTGCAACTGCAACTGCAACTGCAATAACAACAGAACTGAGAAGAAGAGTTGTTCTCCAGATGTGCACCGGAGTAAGTTCCTTTGTTGCCTTCTCTTTCTTGCCTCCTCCACTCGGCTACGTATTACAATGATGCAGAACCACTTAGGACCGTCAGATTAATTTTCCTAGACCGAGCCAGCCGGGAAAAACCCTCGCGCCGACGGACGCAGTTGTGAGGGGAAAAAACCGGGTGTATATCCCCAATGGCGATTAGGCATCATGTAGGCATAGCAAGCACATCACGGCAAAAAGTGATAGAAAAGCAATGATAATATGCACAGAAATGAAGGGTGGGAGGGCAGGGACACTGGTGAGACTGAAAACTGACTGAAGAAGTCAGGAAAATAAGCGACAATAAAGAACACGCCAGATGCCATATTTGCAACTGAAAATATTTCGCGAGAAATCATTTCTCGCCTATCTCGCTGCGCTCGGCCGGCGAGAAAATACGTCTCGTGGTCCAGCTTCTTGGCAGCGCA